GGGAGGGAAAATAAGTTGACCTGCTCCTCTGTGTGGCAGCTCCTCAAATACTGGAAGGCTGCCATCCTGTACCCCCTAGTCCTTCTTTTCTGTACACTAGCCAAACTCAAACCCTGCAACTCTTCTTCGTTTTAGTCTCCAGGCCTTTAATCCTCTCAGTTGCTCTTCTTTGTACTTCTTCCAAAGTCTCAACCTTTTTTTTGTAATGTGGTGACCAAAACTGGATGCAGGATTCCAGGTGTGGCCTTACTAAGGCTTTATAAAGCGGTACTAACACCAAGCTACTCTACAGAGGAGAAGGTGTGGCATTCCCAACCCTGTCCCACTCGACTGCTGCCTTGTTTACACAGCAAGTCCAGTGCTGGGAAGAGGGCCCAGGGCACCAACTAAGCCTGTCCTACTTCTGTGGAGCTGCAACCTCCCCTAACTCAGAGGTCTCCAAACTTGGCAACTTTAAGACCTGTGGACTTCAATTCCCAGAATTCTCCAGCCTGCATAGTTTGGGGACCCCTGCCCTAACTGATCAACTCAAAGAGGCTCTCGTGTGTTACACATTGGAGGCCGGTCTGCCTTCGGGCCTTTTCTTCCGCACAGCCATTTGGGCCAAGCACATTCCTTTCTGGTCTACAACTCCCTTGTTTTAACATTCAAGTCATCTGATGGCTTTGCACTTACCAGGGTTGATAAGCAGATTAAATACACACCCCTACCAAGCCCAGAGAGGGCTGGGCCTCCGTGTCGGCCAGTGCTCTTGGCAAAAGAACCCCTTTCCCCTGCTGAGAGCTGTAGCTAATACTTATGCCACTTCATATTCAAGAGAACATTTAATGCATCCACGAACAAAGTTTATTTTAAGGCTTAGCTGGGATGGGCTTTCTACCATTGAATTGTCTTTCTAGATCACACCATTAACTCCCTGGTCTAACCAGTCATACACAGCTGGGAACAGGAAGTCTCCCCATCTCTCTTTTTCTTTCTCTTTGTCTGTCTATCTGTCTGTCTCCCTCCCACTCACTCACTCACTCACATACACACAAACAAGACTGGGGTTGCCAGGTTCAAGAGAGGGCCATTCTACACACACTTGGCTATGCTCTCCACATCCATCCATCCACTCATCCAAACTTTGAATGGCTGCTCACTCAATCCACAACTGGCTAACCAACAATGGAAAAACCAATAACAAGAGAACAGCTTAAGATTTTGTGTAAAATTAAAAGCAACCCAATCTAGAAAAGAACCAGATCTTTGGGGCCTTTAGTCTGAAGGTTGGAACTACTGAATTTTGGTAAGGAGTGGGGGAGGGGTGTCCCTTAGGGCAGATGCCCCCCCCCCCCCCACAACGAAATATGCATGCTGCCTGGGTCCCATTAGATGGTTTAATGGAAGAAACCTAGCACCCTGGTTTCCAAATTCTTTGCTCCAACCATCTCAGTGTTGGAGCTACCAACGCTTAAAAAGAATACACAAAGGGATTGAACCAGCCTATGATATATACACATCCTGCCAAATCACAAACTAACACAATATGGCAACTGCTTTCCTGAAAGACAGGAAGTGTGGAGAGGGGAGGGGGAAAAAAAAAAAAAAAAGAAGACCCCACTTACAATTTTGGCATTTTTCCCACTTTTTCTCAGCTGCTGGACGGCGAAAGCGTGTTCCACGTTATCCATGGAAACGCCATTAACCATCGCCACACGATCATTCTCCCTGAAAAGGCAGGAAGACAAGAAAGAAAATAAGAGAGCATCAAGTCAAGAAGACCCCTCCCCTCTATCCGTAAAGGCAGGAGAACACAATTTGGTCAAATCCGCAGTAAGACTGAGAGCCAAAATTCTTAAGTTCTTCAGACCACTTTTAATTTTTGCATCGTTCCTTTTTTTTTTTTTTTTTAACACGCAGGTTCTCCCAGGCCCAAGGTGAAGAACAGGTGAAGCTCTGCTTCTCCTTCTCATAATTAGGGTCCCAACTGTGGTTGTTAAGTCGTGGGAGACTTGTCAACCCATTAACTCCAATGGTAGTTATGGCAGAACAGATGCGATTCTTGCAACAGCTTCGTGGAAAACGGTTGATAAGGAGCAAATGGAATGAGTAGGGAGTCCTTCCAGAGAGGCTCCAAGCCCACTCCCCAAGGTTAAGGCAACACTTACTGCAACAGCCCTTCCGCTGGGCCTCCTTTGAGCACATCTGATATGACAATTGAGGTTTCACCGCTCTGGAAATGGGGGTTGTCTCTCCCACCGGATATTGCGATGCCGAAGCCAAAGCCAGGCGCCTGAGAAGATCAGAAAGAAGGTTGAAGTCCGACCCTCCATCACATCATCATTCTGAGCAAGGTGACATCTTTCTGTTGAAACACAATCTCAGGTGTTCTCCAACATCTCCTCTCCATGAGACTCCAACCCACCTTAGATCTCACACGACAAGGACTCTGAATTACACCTGTATGAGTGGGGTGCTAAAGATTTTTGGACCATTCCAACTCCCAATTGTCATTTTTTTAAGACCAGAAGGTGTCCCAACCCTACTGCTGTTCCAACCCAGCTGGATCTGTTAAAAGTTGGAAAGTTTCAATCCCATCAGGACCTGCCTTTCACTTCCCCACACAATTATATGCTACATCACAAACGAGCTAAGGTGTGGTATAAATTCTTCCCTATCATCTGTGCCTGGTTAATATTAGAGACAGAGTATTTAGAACAGAATAGTCGTTGATATGACTTATAGGTCAGAGGTCCCCAAACTTGGCAACTTTAAGACTTGTGGGCTTCAACTCCCAGAATTTTCCAGCCAGCTATTCTGGCCCATAAGTCTTAAAGTTGCCAAGTTTGGAGACCTCTGACCTATAGGCTAATCAATCAACCAATATATAGTAAATAGAATAGAGCTGGAAGGGACTTTGGAGGTCTTCTAGTCCAGCCCCCTGCTCAAGCAGGGTAAAAACTCAGTGCAATGCAAATACTGCTTTTCACAGTGTCCCAAAGAACCAGTGTGAAAGATTCTAAATAACCGGTCGAGAAAAACAGCAGCATCTCCTTTGATCAACCTTCTTCCTGCTGGCTCAAAGAAGCAAATTTCTCTGATCTTTTGATTTTCTGTTCAAAAAGTTGCTGGTCAAGAACAAACAATCCTACCCCTGGTTGGAACATTAGCCAGTGAATTCCTAAATAAATTGCCAAAAGGCAGGAGAGGAGCCGAAGCGGTGAGAACAATAAACATTTTGGTTATAGTTTTACAAGCCATGCTCAAAATATTTTACCCAAAGCACCAGCATCCGACCTTTAAGCCAGCCAAGTAGCAATTGTGGGAAGGCCAGCCACAAATATGGACATCACCAAGGAGTCCTAAACTCCAGATTTTTAAAATGCGAACAACGCAGCAGCTAGAAGCAAAAATGGGTACGGAAAACCCAGCCTATTAAGGCTGATAGGATTACTGCAGTCCACCGTTGCACAGCCAAACCATCAGCCAAGGGAACAGCCTCTTTGGTGCGAATAAAACAACCGAGGAATCAAAATAAGAAGCCCCTCCTAATTTGGACAGAAGAAAAAAAAAATGTTGGCCTGGGGATGCATAAGATGAAAAGCACCCAGATGCTTTCTCTTCCTCGATGGGATTCGGCTCATTGTGCGCGGAAAACATCACAATGGGAATAGAGCTTCCAAGATTATTTCTCACACAGTTGGGAAGACATTCTCTCTCTCTCTATTTTTCCCCCTCTTTTTCATAATGAAAAGCAAGACTTGCCAGAATCCAGCTCCAAGCTGAAATTCTACTCTGGTGAAAGAAGAATGCCGGTCCCTTCACACTCCCTTCCCTTCCTTTGCCCGTATGACTTCTCTTCCCTTCCCTTGACAATCGTTTCTGGAGTGAGTTGCAATAACCAAATCACCTTGCTTCAGAATTGTTGCATTTTTATGCAACACACTTGACAGTTTTGAGATGACCTTCCCTTAAAATGTTCACACATTGTGTATAGGCGAAGGAGTCATAGAACCGGGCTGGAGTCAAAAGAGGAACCAACCTAGAATCGCTACGTCGTCACAAATGAACTAAGTCCAACCCTTCTTGACTGCCATTGACTTTATTTAACTCCAAGCGGGGGACTGGCTATATATTAGTTGAGAAGATTCCCGTCCATAGGCTTTTAGCAATGAAGCAATTGAATTGGACCTTCATTGGTGGATCTGTTCTTTCGCACCTGGACAACGAGCAAATATTATGAAGTGTCTTTTTATTCCCACCCCCAAATGGCTACTCAGAAAGAAGAGCTTTATCAAGATTGGGGTGACAACTAGAAGAAGATTTTTTCTCCAGAGCTTCTCTTAGAGGACAAGGGCTGTGTGTTTTATTCCGCTGTAAGAAGGAATTCAGGCGAGCCGACAGATATAAACATCCTTCCTTCTTGTGTGAACGTTCTCTGCAGGCTACGCAGCACCAGGGTTGAGTCTCTCAAACGCAGACCAACGTCCACATATATTTTTGCTTATTAACACAACCCATCCTAAGAACAACAGATTCTGCCTTAATGAAATATTAGAGGCGGTTGCATCAACATTAGACTTGACTTCCCATTTATGAAGTCAGTCAAGTGTTTCCCAACTTTGGTGACTTTTAAGATCAGTGGACTTCAAACTCTCAGAATTCCCCAGCCAACATGGCTGGCTGGAGGAACTCTGGGAGTTGAAGTCTTCCGTCTTTAAAGTAAACACTGCAGCACCCGATTCAGGATCCGTGACTATCCCAGGTTGTTGGTTTGAAGGCCAAATCCTGGGAATATGTCTGGTAAGAAGTTGTGTGTGTGTGTGTGTGTGTGTGTAAGTTGTTGGGATGTTCCAAGAGGCCTGGTCATAGTCAGAACTCCTTGTCGAGTCTTTTGAACTATTTATAGATTGTAGGAAGTTTCAATCAGCCATAATCTCCGTCGACCTTACCAAGGAGGAGGAAGAGCAACCCTCCCCCTCCCCACCGAGGTCACCTCCTTCCCTGCAGCTCTAATTTGGAAAGCAGAGGCCCGCCCTGACAAGCCGGAGAGGTAATCTCCCTTTGACCAAATCCAAGTTTTAATCAAGAATTAGAGGAAGTGGAAATCTCCTCCAGGGCTTCTGTTTCCGTTGAGAAAAGATGCCTCGCGCGTTGAAGATCTCAGAAAAGCTGTTTTTTTTGTTTGTTTTTTCCTCCTCCCAAGCAGGAATTAAGAGCATCTGGTGAGGTTTTTATCTTCTGCATAGCTCCGAAACCTTCCCAGTTGGACTTCGGCGCCAGGCTGCCATCCGAGTGGCGCAGTGCCGCTTCGTAGAACAGTGACGGATTGAAGGCCGTAAACTGTTTCCCTCTCCCCCAACTCCATTCATCTCTGAATATATTCATGCAGGTAGTTCTCGACTTACAACAGTTCATTTTTGTGACTGTTCAAAAGTTACAATGGCACTGGAAAAAAAAGGGGCGTACAACCGTGGCAGCATCAGTGATGTGATCAAAATCCGGACCGTTGGCACCTGACTCGTATTTATTGTGGTGTCCTGGGGATTGTTCTGACCCAGGCTTTGTCCAACGTAATTAATCACAAAGTTATTTTAAAAACAAAACCTATTTTATTGCAATGCTGGGAATTGTTTTTATTCCCAGCCAGAATTAAACTCAAACAGTCCCCCGAGATAAGCACACACCTTCCAGTTCTGTGGAATGCTGCCCAAAACAGACGTATCCAATGAACTAGAAAAGAAACCAACCAAACCACAAGAAAAAAACAACCAAAGTACACGGAGCTTCAAGGAGGACTTGGAATCTCTTGAACTACCTTGCTTCCTGCAAAGAGTTCGTCATTGAGGTCTGACTTTTATCCCTTAAGGGAGGGGCAATCACCTCCAAGCCTTACTCCCGAGTCGCCCCTTTTGTCTCAGTTGCTCTCGCCTTCTAGCAGCTCTGTGCACACGCACACTGGGAACAGGCTCCTCTTGTTCCTCTTCCTCGCTGCTGCCAGGCTCCAAAGGCTCCGAGTCAGCACCCCACTCCCAGATGGTCCTGGCCCCATCTCTGCATCGGACGCGGGACCCTCGTCCAAGTTCTCTCCAGATTCCTGGACCGGCCCATGTTCCTCCCCACTGTCCGATTCCGCTGCCAGCAAACCACAACAGGGATCATTTGATCATCTTTTGTGATCTTCTGATGAGACAAGTCAATGTGGGAGCCAGAGTCAATTATCAACCACGTTACTACAACATAACCACTGAGAAAGGCTGTACAATGAGGCAAAAACTCACTTCAATGTCTCACTCAGCAACAGGAATTTTGAGGTGAACTGTGGACGTTAAGTGGAGGGCTACCGGTATTTACAAAATTACTTTATTCCATCCTTTTAGCTTTGCAAAATGATCTTCCTCAAGTATTTTTTTTTTTCAAAAAAGAGAGGGAAGTGAAAAAGTAAGCAAGAAAGGGAAGTGCCCAGAATAAATCATGGATTTAATATATTTTTTTTACTGCACGGAAATACAAGGAGATGAATGAACTCGGCTTTTGGGGAAAGACTTCACTTGAGTCACCAATCTAGATTTCTAATGTTACAACAGCTTTATGGAGTAGTTCACAATGGTGTAATCCAACTAGGCTGGTGTTTAACCACACTTAAAGTGCATGTTGCGTACACCTCAGTGGATAATGACTAGTCATGTACAAACTGGTTCGGCTGCTGTTTAATTCTTGAGCAACTGAGTAATTTCTCCACTGGCTGGCCAGTTGGTCCTTTCAGATTTTTCATGTTATACTTCTTTTTTTAAAAAAATTCTCTTTTGGATTTTTTTTTTTTACAATAATATTTTTTTTTATACAATAATAGAATATTTAGAATTTTAGATAATAATGAATATATAAAGAGATTTTTTTTCTTTCTTATTTAATATCACATTTATAAAATGTCTTTAGGATAGATTTGGTATGATTATATGATTTGTTATAAAATAAATTAAGTAAATTATAGTTATCTCGTAAAGTATGTATGAACAAAATCATAGTCAAATGATTGTTTGATAGTGATACTAGGGTATATAATTTTTGATTGATAATATGAGTTAATATGTAATGTAATTGTAATTGAGACTACGAAATGAATGCACAAAAACTGGTAAACCAACCGACACACTGTTTGTATATTTATGAAAGAAAGCTGGATGTTTTCATGTTTTGTTTGTTTGTTTGTTTTTAAAAACTAATAAAATTGTTTAAAAAAAAATTCTCTTTTGGATTTTTTTTTGGGGGGGGGGGAGGAATCTTATTCCAGATAGTCCTTGACTTACAACCATTCATTTAGTGACCGTTTGAAGTTACGACGACACTGGGAAAAGTGACTTACGACCATTTTTCATACTTATGACTGTTGCAGCATCTCTGTGGTCATGCGATTAAAGTCAGATTCTCGGCAACTGACTTGTATTTATGACGGTTACAGTGTCCCGAGGTTATGGAATCCTCTTTTGCAACAAGCAAAAGTCCATGGGGACTCCAGATTCACTTAATGACCATGAGCCTAATCTAAGGACTGCAGTTTTGCTTAACAATTATTGCAAGAAAGGTTGTAAAATGAGGCAAAACTCACTTAACAACTGTCTCGCATAACAACATACATCTCAGGGCTCAGTTGTAGCCATAAGTCAAGGACTGCCTGCATAAGACCATTCGGGGATTTCTTCTGGGGCACCACAAAAATCTTTCTGGGAGAAAAGCGAATGAAAAATCAAAATAAAATGAATGAGAAATATTCCAGGGCTGAGGAACTATTTTTTGTACAATCGCTAACTTGCATTGGGCCGTACCACAAAGCCCCCTTTATCAAACAATAAAGCACAATAAAACAATAAAGTGTTTAGAGAATAATTCTCGGGGGTGGGGGAAATCCCATCTAATTCTAAGTTGTGGGGGGAAAAAATCTGGTCACCTAAATTATCCTGCACTACTTACGACGACATCAATGTTGAACAAAAGAGCAAGGAATTTTGCTCCAATTTTACCTTCTAAAAAGTCCTTATTTTTCTTGCTGCTTTCAAGAATAGTCCAGATTTGTGTCACTGTAGAAACTCACCCTGTGAAGCGTCACCGTGTGTTGTTCCCATATGGCAGTTTCTTCCATTGTTGTGCTCTGATTAAAGGAGAAAAGGAAGAGAGAGAGAAAAAATCAGAATTAATTTCACGAATTAAACTTTCCTAAAGCTGTAATCCGAAGCATGCATGCCAGCCACTTTCAAACTGCTCCCTGCTTCAAAGCCCAAGTCAAACCAACCGTGCCTTTTATGGCTTCTAAATTATGATCGTGGTACTTTTTTTTAGCTTTAAAAAAAGTTATTATGTACGGAATACGCGATAGTTTTCATTTTTGTAAAACCAAAAATTATAGCGAATCAACACAGTAAAACTCATATATTAAATGCTTTTAAAAGGCATGCAACTCCAAAAGGTTAACCAAACATAGCAGAAATCAGAAATTTCCCATATTTTTTTTTAAAGTACTTTCTGTATGTAAAAATCATTGGGTGCATAAAGATGGAAGGATAATGAAACACCCATATTAGAAGACTGAATTATAAAACTGACTGAGCTTGCAGAAATTGTGAAGCTGATCAGTTTGCTCAGGGAACAAACAAGCAATAATATATATATTTTTAAAAGAAGCTAGAAGCCTTATATGGATTTTTTTGCTGAAAGAAGAAACAACTGAATTTACACTTTATGGATTTGAAGATTACAAATAGTTGGAGAGAGAGAGGAAAAAATAGTAAGTCAATTATTTGATAGAAAGAAGAGAGTCTAACGCCTTGTTTTCTTTCTTTTTTCACTCTTTTTAATCTTTTTCTTTGTTCTTCTTTTCAACTGTTACACCTTTACTGCATTGAAAAATTCTAATCAAAATAGTATGCATGTGCATTGCAACTTTTCTCACAATCTTTTTTTAAGAGTATACCACAGGGAGGATTGGTTCCCTTTCTAAATCTGAAAAAGGAGTTTTGGAGCAGGTACGTTTGTTTGGAAACACCTTTCCGACATTGGATGCAAAAATTAGCAAATCCCTAATTATGGCAAACCTCTGTGGACGGTCAGCCCTGTTGACAAAGTAGCAAACGACTTCAAGAGTCAACTTTCAGAGGGTTATCGGTGCCAGATGCCAACCCAGGACCTAATGGAAAACAGGGCAAGGCAAGATTGACTACAGCAGGGCTGGAGAATTCTGGGAGTTGAAGTCCACAAGTCTTAAAGTTGCCAAGTTTGGAGACCTCTGGACTACAGCAACCCTTGCAAAAAAAAAAAAAAAAAAGTATTATTTTTGCATTAAGTCGGGAATTATTTCAGGGCCAATAATACTGAGAAAACCTTCATCCCCATCCCTCATCTCCCACCCCAGCAAAATGATTTGCTTGCAAAGTGGGTTTACAAAACCGTGAAAAATAAAACGTGTTGGCATTCGAGGGACACTACCCAAGCAGCAAAAGGCACGAATCTTCTTCACCCTGCACAAAATTACGCCACCTCCATCTCAAGAGGGGCCTCACGTCATCTCGACCGTCCTAAAAGGAGCAACCAGATCCAGTTACTGTAAATTATGATGTCTGGTGCTTTGGGCTGGCTGTGCTTTTCCACTCATTTGGGGTTTTTTTGTTTTTTTTTACAAAGTGTCCCACCCGCTGGTTGCTTTGCAGGAGGGAGGGGATATTACCTGCCAGGGATTTTACTCCAGCCAGGAGGATTAGGGCACGTGAGCCACTGTGCTGGGAAGTCACGTTTAAACTGACACTGCAGTTAATCTGCTCTCTGGCGAACGCAGAACCCAATGGGCTTCTCCGTCACGCCAACGGATTAAAAAGGAAAAGAAAAAAAAAGGTTCCCATCCAGTTTTAATTTATTTATTTTTTTCCTCTTAAGTGAGACGGCAGCTGGATCAGAGGTACTCTTGCAATTTAGGGCTGTGAAAGTAGCTCTGATTTTAGAAAGGATAAAACCAAGGCGCAGGAGAGAAAATGAAGGAGTCCAAAAAAAAAAGAGAGAGAGAGTTTTTAAAACCTCTAAATCTTCCCTTGTGAGAAGCGACCCAGTCTTTTAAGCCTGGCATGTTTCAGGGGTGACCTTGCCAAAGCTATTTTGTAAGGAGCGACAAAGAGAACAGGGATGCAAAGAATACCCCGGAAGCTTTTAGACAGGGGAAAAGAACAATTAACAAATTGTTCAAAGCTAAACTGCGAGGTCGGAAAATTTTGTAATACTGATTTTTGTACTTTGGTGCCAACCAGATGTGTGCCAGTGTCAGGGTTCGCGGAGAAAACCGTTTCTGCATCATACAATGTCTTTCTCCGAACCAGAACGCATTGGGCGTTCATTCTGTGTTTTGTAGGGACTCAGGTTAAGATTGTGTGATTTCAGGCTTCGTGTAACAACCCTTGTCAACAGGCAAGGGTGACTTTAAAGAAAGAGACGAGCGGCAAATCTTTCCCCCAAATTTATTTTTGTAAAAAGGTGCAAACCGACTGAATTTTGATTTAACGCTTGCTGGTATCTGATTATTCAGACAGGTGGAAAAGTCAAGATTGTCACTTCGGAAAATCAAATATGCTATCAGATTTCTTTCAAGAAAAATCCTTCCCATTCCTTTTGCCTATATTTCGCAAATATCAGTTAGCATTCAGTTCAAAGTGTGCGACGCATTGCTATTAAAAACAGTCTTTTAATTAGGGAACAAAAACATTGACCAGAGTTGGACTAAAACAACTTTTCTATTGCCATCTTGGGTGTCCCCATTCTGCCAGTTTAAAAATGCCAGTCTTGGCACCAGGGAAGCCCCACTTAAATACTAGTTCACGCAGCATTGGGAGAAAAAAAAAGAAACATCCAATGATTTATCCCAATTCTGTCAGGACACTTCAGAAATTTAATTATTTGTTTGTTTGTATTGCATATAGTTCTTAACTGCCCTTCTCCCAGGAAGAAGAGCGGCTGGACGGTGTTCCATTTTAACCAACAAAATTAAATGTTAAAACCCAAATAATTTAAAATTAAAAAGTTTTAAAGTTATACATTCCATTTGGTCTTGGGATTCAAAAAAGAAAGAAAAAAACAAATAAATCGTATTTCTGATTCCTTGGAACGGCCTGGACAATCTTAGGCAGCCAGAAGAAAACAATGCTTACAAAACTTGGGAACAGGTTCAAATATTCTGTAAACAAACCCCTGCACTGTTTGAAAGATCACTGGGAAAACACACACACACACACACCAATTAAGTGAGACACAAGGATTACATTGAAAAGGCAAGGCTGCGTTTTGGGGGGAGCGTTGATAAAATATTGACATGAAGCAGCAGCCCAGGGAAAAGACAAAATAATAATAAAATGTAAGTTGCTTCTGGGATTCGAAGACAGTTGTTCCCTATTTTTGCTGGAAATTTTCAGCAAGCTATTTTGCGCTTCCGGAGGACGAGGCCCGAAGGTGGCCACCTGGAACGTGGATTCGCTGACTGGACGCTCGACCGAGATCGTCAGGGCCATGCGGGACAGGAAGCTGGACATCTGCTGCCTCCAGGAAACTCGCTGGAAGGGCAACAAGGCTACGACTATAGACGGCTATAAGATCATATACACCAGCTGTAAGGAAAACCGCGGCGGTGTAGCTGTGGTTGTCAGTCCCAGCTGGCAAAGCTCCGTTGCAGAAGTTAAGCGCCTCACAGAACGACTGATGATAATCGTCGTAGCGACCGAGAGGCAGCGCCTACACATCTTGTCCGCCTACGCCCCTCAGACCGGATGTCACGAGGAGGAGAAGGATACCTTCTGGGAACTGCTCGACATCCAACTCAGGCAGATCCCATATGAAGACGACATCATCATCTCTGGCGACCTGAATGGTCATGTAGGGCGGGACAAAAACGGACACCAGTGCCACGGTGGGCACGGCACAGGCGATATGAATGAGAATGGCCAGAGGATCCTGGACTTTGCCGATTCCCATGATATGACCATCACGAACACCTGCTTCATTAGGCGAGAACCCCAACTCCTCACCTACCATAGCAGAAATGGGAACCACCACACACAGATCGACTACATCATCGTACGACGAAGAGCCGCTAAAAACGTGCTCAACGCCAAGGTGTACCCATACGAATCGAGCAGTCAGCACAGGCCGCTGATGGCGAAGATCAGGATCAGCAAGCCCAAGACCAAGATTGACAAAAAGAATGCAGACCAGCCACGAATCAAGTGGTGGAACCAGAAGAAGATGGCGGGACCCCTCATCAAACCGGAGCAGTTCCTGCAGATGGTCGACGGGCCACAGGAAGCGTGGTCCATGCTGAAGAGCACTGTTCACACTGCCGGCTGCCAACAGCTTGGTTGTACCAAGCCAGGACGGAGACGCATCGAACGAGATACATGGCTCTGGACACCGGAAGTACAAGATGCCGTGCACCTGAAGAAACGGCTCTACAAGGCCTTTCTTCAGGACAAGACCAGCGAGAAGCTCTGCGAGTACAAGGCGGCCAAAAAGGCAGCCAAGAAAGCAGTAGCGACAGCCAGAAGCTCCCACTACGACGACATCTACGAGAAGCTGAACACGCGAGAAGGCGAGAATGAGATCTACCGCCTAGCCAAAAGCAGACACAGGAAGACCCTGGACATTGACCAGTTTCATGGGATCAACGACGAAAGGGGAAATTTGATCGTCAACCCCAGAGACGCTGCCGAGAGGTGGCGGCAATACTTCGAGAAGATCTCCACCGAGGAGTTCCCACACCCACGAACCCCGCAAGGTGACCCCGTCGAAGGCCCAGTCTCAGGCATTCACGCCAGCGAGGTCACCGACGCCATCAAGGCCATGAAAAACGGTAAGGCAACAGGACCAGACGACATCCCTGCCGACTTCTGGAAAAAGGCACTACCGGGCTCGGCATTGTGGCTGTGCGAGCTGTTCAACAACATCGTCTCCACGGGAATAGTGCCACACGACTGGTACCGCAGCACCACTGTTCCGATCTGGAAGGGAAAGGGCAGCCCAGCGGACTGCTACAACTACAGACCGGTCAGGTTACTGTCACACACTATGAAGATCTTCGAACGCGTCCTCGATAAGCGCATTCGGGACATCGTCGACATCAGCGTC